TAGTATAAAGATCTGATAAAGAGGAATATTAAGTAAGTTTTCTATGTCTGCATTTGGAAGTCTCTGGTATAACAAAGATTTCCAAGTCTCAAACCAGAATCTTAATCGCGCTTTATACAAAACCTTAACATCGAAACAGCTTTAAAATGCTCAAATTATACCATCTGAAAGTTGAATTTAATTTAAAAAATGTGGTGCGTTGTACCCAAAATACATTTCACTATTACTTTAGTAATTAGCTTTTCTCTACACAAAACATCACTGTAGTTGGTTTTGGATTTTCCAGGTCTTCAACGACATTATCTTTCTTGATTAATATAATGGTTGTAATATACTGGATGAGAAAAGACACAAAGTAATCAGATCTCCCTTGACTGCTGGCCCAACATATGGTCTTGCAAGTTTTGGAATACAGTGTTTGGGATAGTTTGCTGAATATTCTTAAGATGACTGCTCTTCCACTATGTGAAAAAGAGGGTTTTTTCTTATCCCTAAAATGACTGTCTTCAATAAGCGGTGATTCACTGAACTAGCCCTGAAGCTGCCTTTGGAAGCTCAGTATTCAAAAAACATCTGTGCCAGCAAGTACCAGGAGAGGGCTTTCACTTGATATTTAAACAAACTATACCCTCAGATATTTCAAACATATACTCTATATTTATGTATTTTGAGATACTAGCCATAGGTCTTGATGAAAATCCAGATGATTTTTTTATTATTATTATTCAATATGGAAAAATACTTGCATTTAACCTCTACACTTTAATTCCTTAGTCAAAAACAATGGATTCTGAAATATGCCAATTTTGCATTCATGCCACCTTAGCACTACTCAAATATTTAACTTGTAAACCTAGTGTTGGGATGATTAATGCTTTTCTTAAAGCTTTAACTCTTACAATTACATGAAAATATTCATAAAACCAATTTTTAATCCTAATTCTTAAGACCCTTACAATTCAAGAAAAAAAAAAGACTGAAAAAGTCAACTGAATAGATTCAAAATCTGTAAGGTAAACAAAAGCAACTTCAAATTTATTATTTTTAATCTGACATAACTAAAGATACTGACTAAAGAGCTGAAGTGGTTGTTGTCTTCCCTCTCCTATGTCATTTAGTGCCCTACCTTTGCCGTGCACTGCTGTGTACCAACACAAGCATTAACAGGACCCACACAGCAAATAAGAATTAGGCAGTATTGCTGCTAAATGCATAACATGGTACAGGATTGTTAGATGCTTAACTTGATAATCATGCATTAAATTTGACAAAGCAGTAACATTTAAAGATATATTCCAATAATTTTGTCTAGCATCATTAAATAAATTTTAAAAACTATCAAATTCTGCAAATGCAATATTTTCAAGTCTGCAAGGCAGAGAAGCTGAATTCTTCCAAAGGTATCTCATTTCTTTTTACCCTTTCTCTTTCACTCTTGATCTAAACCGCATTATAATAATAAGCAGGCTGAATTACTGATGAGCTGTTGGCTGCTGCAGAGGAAGCTGTGTTTCCAGCAGATTATCTAAAATACAAGAAGACAAGAAAGGTACTAAAAAGAAAGTGAATGAAGAGCAGGTGATCTCAAGTTTGCTGTCTCTGCCTTGTTCTAAGTTCCTTTCCCAGTGCTCACTGGGCTCTAGGCCAAACTACTTCAGCAAGCTAAGCAGAAACTATTCACTTTTTATTGTTGTTAGGTTAGTTTTCTGCCAATTTATCAAATGGAAACGGGTTAGCACAGGGTACAACAAGAGCCAGAGCCAATGAAAGGGAAGCGGCAGGAATGCACATTACTAGGGACTGGGATAGAGATCACAGTCAGATTAGCTCAGGCGACTGTGATTACACAGTCTGAAACTAGTTACACATTGGTGGTAGCGTTATTTGAAGCGTCTAGCCCCTGCTCATCCATTTTTCTATAAAATCTTTTTTCCCCATTTTTTGGAAAGGAATTTTTCATATGCCTGCGTGGAGAAGTGAATCAAAGAACATATATGATGTAAAAATAACCTCACTCCAAAACTGCTAATTTTCCAACTCCCCAAGTAGAAGTAATCAAAAACCCAGTCATACTAGTACGGAAGACCCAAATTATGGGCCTGGCCTTGTTAATTTAAGGTAATCCTGCCATCCGAAGAAAACTCTATTTAGCTATGGCCTGAAAAGAAGCAAAGAAGTCCAAAATGAGTCCTGGAAATGTGAGACAGAAAACAAGTTTAAAGAAAACACTCTTGAACAAAGTGCTGGTGGAAAAATATTTGCAATTATGAGCCCAAGTTTTTTCACATTTATAAAGGCTGTATAAGAGCTGTTTCTCTGTATACAACAAACAGTACTTGTCACAGAAACACTAAGCTTTTCCATCAACTACTTCTCCATCACTACTTCCTAAATTGACCTCCTGCTCAGATCAAAAGGGTATTATTAAAAAGATCCAATTTCTAAAGAGAAATTGTGAGCTAGTATTTCTGTTGAACCAAGAAGTTGGTCTGAAATCCAACACTTATCCTTGAAAAAAACAACCAATGCAGCTAAGTAAAATATCAAACAAGAATTAGCTCAGAAGAGGAAAAAACATAACATGCAGGGGTGGATGATCTGTAACTGATATCTCTTTGGATCAGCAAATGTGCAGTGTCCTAGCTGCAACAGAAGCAGACATACAGGTAAAAAAAATATTAATGTGGAACAGCAACTTTAATGACAAAAACTGGATGTTTTGACAAAAAAAGGGCAGGCCAAGAGAGCTCTTGCCAAGGCAGACCTTGCAAACAGAGATTATCAGTAACAAGGATTTAAGAAGCTTAAAAATTGCTCAGAGAAATCAGAGGGTCATAGACCACAGTGGAAGTCAGACATCTGAAGGTGAAACTGGGCTAAGGGATGTCTGTAAGAGAGGACATAGTCTTATTAGTTTTCTATGTTTATAACCTCCAGAAAACCAAAGAGAAATCAGATAGTCTTAGACAAACAAATTTCCAGTACCCTTTTTTAGAGTGAAACATTTCTGAGGAGCCCTCATTGTCCTACATTCATAGCAGCCCTAATAAGTAGCTCAGAAAAATAACAGAACGATGGAGTTTCTAGCAGCCAACCTGCATGAGACAAGTTTCTACAGCACTTTAGATCCTATCCCCAGAAAAGACATTGAATAATCCAGATACAGAACCCAAGTCCTTGAAATCAGCTTGCAGGCAGGCATTAATGTGAGTGGCTAGAAGCCACAAGGAGAGGGATGGGAGTAATTCAGTTTGAACTGGCAGAAGAACCACACAATTAATGACTCAAGAAAATCCATGTATCGGCAAAAACTTCAAGGATTATTTGTAAATTGAGTAACACAGAAGTTCAGCAAAATCTGGGCTAGGGGAGCAACAAAAGGAAGCAAAAATCTCCAGAAGCCTTCGGAGTTTGTTACAGGCCTTTATCTTTCCTTGAAGCACTGTACCAGGAGAGTAAGGAGCTTCTGGAGAGAGAGGGAACCTGTTCACCATAACCCATACAGATATACAGCGCTCAATAAAATGTTTCACCGAAGGTGACCTCATTTTGGTTCATTCAACTATAAAAGTTTAAAAAAGGATCCTTTTTTTAAAAAGGGGCAATAGTCAATAAAAATTAAACTCTGGTACTTAGGAGAAAATATTCCGTTTGTCACGGGAAGACAAGCAGGGAACATACATCTGTTAAAATCTGAAGGGATGCATGTACTCTTAGAAGGTTCAAATTATGTTTAAATTAATCTTGTATGAAAGCCAAAGCTATCACTATCCAGTTGTTGAGCTTCTAATGAAAGCTTCTTTTGGCCTGTTGCTGCAGAATTTCTTACAGGTGTGTATAGAGAACAGAATTCTTTACAGAACGTAAGACAATGAGGGAGACTGAAGGTAAGGGAATGCAACAGGACAACACCAAACTCAGGAAGCTCCCTCAGTCTGAAACTAATTTGACCAGAAAACAGGAGCACTTCCTATATAAATATCTGAAGTCATCAGTCAACTTCAGAAAATAAACAAGGTCCACTTCTATTCCTAGCTCAGCTAATTCCTTAGCACTAATCTTAGCACATGAAAAGAAAGAGAACTCAGATAAAAGCTATCCAAAATGGGAAACAAAAAGGCCTTTGGAAATGCCTGGCATTTAGACAGTCAAATGTCTGAGCCAAAACTGTTAGTCAGTTATTCAAAACAAAATGTTTGCATTTTCCTCAGAACAGACATATAATAGGGAGAATTACTTTGACTCCTATTGTGTAGGCATATTTAACAGGAACAAAAGCAGCCCAACCGTACCTGTACTGAACAACTCAGGACTCTTAGAGTTATCCAAGGTAATACAAACGTGTTACCCTAGTTCCCCACATCAGTTAATATGATCACGCTTTTGACGATTTTGCATTCCATTGTGTACTATAGTTACCTCTCCTTCTAAGAGAACAGGAGAATCATGTAACAAGTCTGATTCTACTTCTAGAGCACGGTATTCTTATTCAAATTACATAAAATTTATCACTACAAACTTATCTTTGCAGCTGTGGGGGTCAATCAGCCATTCTGTAAAATATTTTGACACATATTTGTCACAAAAGCACGCTACCGGTATTACTACAAGCTCTCGGTCCGAACTGGAGGCAAGACTACAGCTATGTTTTTGTGGGTAGTTCTCCACGCCCTGTTCTTTTTTCTGTTTACCTTTGGATTATGTGGAGGAGAAAAACAGTATAAAGGCAGTGAACAGTTTAAGGGAGAGACTTACACTTCACATTTAACTTATTTTAAAAAAATATTATTTCATTATCTGTTGAAATTTAGCACTTGAAAATACAGCTAAGAGCAGATGTCATTTTAACTGTGGCAAGATAAACTGGACTCACAGTCCTTCTAACTTGCATCACCTTTTCCAAGTTACACAGTTCACTGAGAATACTGGCATGTAGCATCTCTAGTTATTCCTACCAGGTTTTGAAATAATAACTTATCTTATTGTATATAGACATATACCTCTCCTCCTATGGTAAGCAGTCCAGGAGAATCAAGCTTCCGTTTCTTCCGGGGACCGATAGCTGCCAGTGCAGTTAGATTGGCATCCCTCTGCCTCATTTGTGCAAGTTCTTGTTGCTGCATCTGTCAGAGAGAGAAACCCTGTTCAGTTTTTATTCTGTTGTCATTTCAAAGAGTTATTCTCAGACCTGCAAGCATGAGGTGGAAGTCACACATGAGCAATCCCTAACAGTACTTTGCTGTTCCTAGAAATACCATTTTAGCAACTCAAGCATGCAGCCTTGCAGTAGAGTAATAATGAAGATACAGAAGTTCTCCTGACTTTCCACAGATTTCTGCTTCCAAATAACTCAACTGTTTTTGAAAACTCCATCCTTATCCTTGAAGATTGCCTTTGCCAGTTAAGTACTAAGTACACATCTCCAGTTTAAGATTGACATGAAGAGTGTAAATACCAATTCAAATACTCAAAAAATAAACATTTTCTTTCATCTCAGATTTACTTTGAAATTCAAATATATTTGATATTTGCTTAAAAAAAACCCCATATATAAATTAATAAAACACTTCTATGTAAATGTTAGCAGAAGTTAATGCTGACACAAAAACCCTACAAACTGAATTTATAACTTCCTTCGGGGATTATGATTTAGGTAACCAACACATTTGACTGGTCTGAGGATAAGAAAGCAACCTGCCAGCTGCATTATGTAACAATGTACCATGCTACAGAAAGTAAGACAAAATACTCTGGCCACCACATGATGAAGAGGTAAGACTGCATATTCATTATAAACTGTACAATCCTTTTAGAGATTAAATGATAGAAGATGTATTCCCATGAACAATAGTACTTCAATAAATATTCCAACTATCAATACTAGACAAGAATAATTGATCAGGTAATGCAGCATATTATTTTAATCAGATAAAAGCATTCATAGCTCTTAGTAATCATTCTTATTAATTTCAAAACTTTGGGATCGTAAAATCCTTCCATAAATCCAGGGGAGGTATTTGTTCTCTAATCCTATCGATGTCATACTAGTTCCCACTTCAACAGAAATGCACAGACCACTACCCTCAAGAAATTCGGTAGTGGTAATAAAAACATTGCATGATGCAGAATTCTTCATTAAAATAAAACTCAACTGACAAGTGTAGATAGAAGTGTCTCAGCCATTACTTACGTGTGAGCTGCATATACAAGTGGGGCCTGAACTATCTTGGCCAATGTTAAAAGGAAAGGAGGGTTAAACAAAAAAGTACCAATGTATGGTATCTTTTCTCCATTCACTTCTGCCTACAAAAAGCAGGTCTGCTTAATGCACGCTATTTAGTGCATTTTTCAGGTTTATTCATTTAGCAATGCAACGCATTTCCACGTATGTCAGAAAAAGCAGATTCGGTACATTTAGTTTGAAAGCCCATTTTTAACATTTTTATGCTATGTATTTCGCAACTTCAGCGATTATCATAACTTCAACATAACATTATCTACAAATCCACGTCTCATCAACAGGCTAAAAGAATTTCCTCAATACAAAAAAGAAATGTGGAAAAATATCTAAATAATAGTGCAAAGGTCTATACATACTTCTCTTTGCCAACTCATATTAGGTTTTTAGCTCAAATATCTTTGGCTCTCTTCCAGATTAAATGCCAGTTAGACAGACCTGCCCGCTTACCCTTTCAAGGTAGATAGCAACAGTGGTGAGCTCTAATCATTTACAAAGGTCATGATCGGAAGCTAGCCCGTAAGCAGTCATTTAAAATTCGATTGATCCCTATTTGTAGTCAGGGAAAGAAAATGGACATTTCAGCTGTATTGTAATTATGAGGCTTCAAGGCAACTGTAAATAGATGTGCAAATCCAGATACTGGCAAATACCTTAGAGAAGAAATTATTACTATAGTATAACATATATCTAGGAAAGGTTGAAGATAAAACTGCGTATAAAAAAAGATCAATCATCTCTTTGCTAATTTGCCATGCTTGCCAGCCTATAAGGGTTATCACAATTATCAGAAGTCTGATGAATATTTAAGCAAGGGCCAACTGGCTTAGAGTGATCTCAGACAAAGTTGTAAAGTGGGTGGCTTCACAGAATAAGAAATTTTGCACTGGAGTAATCCACAGTGGGACAAATCCTGCCCTCACTTCAAAACTGCAAAGTGTCTGGTGCTGTTTTACCAAGAAAGTATGGAATAGCTTCAAGAGTCTACAGAAGGGTTCGCACTCATTTATTCCTCAGGTTCTTTGCCCTTTCTTTTTTATTCAGTGAGAAAGGCAAAATAGTTCTTGATATCACAGGCTAATTTTTGACAAATATGTTAGCCTAGCACTGACTGTCCAAACAAATGCACAAGATTTTCGACAACCTCTAATTTAGCACATGACAGGAAACCTGGCTCAGCAGATGAAGCCAAAGGAGCTGGGCTCTGTCCTACTGACACTGGGTGAACACCAGCAAGACCTTTCCTTTCACTTCCCTGTGCCTCTCACTCTGCTTCGCATAGTCTGTCTATTTAGGCTGTAAACTCTCCAGATGTGGATCCTCCTCCAGTCCGTGCCTTACTTATAATCCAGCCCCAGTGGGACTAATAGACACTACTTTAATACAAATAAGGAATATGCTGCCAGGTACAAAAACTCCCGACAAAAACACAATACAGTTTTTGATATTGGTTTTACAGTACACACCTTGGTATGCTACACTAGAGAAGAACAACCTTCTTATGTAAACCTTGATGAATGTTGGTCAAAAAACATCAAATACATCAAACACAGATGCATCAGCAGTAAGATCACAGTATCCTGATGTTTTATAAAATAAGGGCTGAAGTGCTGAAATACTTGACAGATACTGTATTATACAAACTCTCATAATTCTTTTAAAAATTAATTATTACTGGTGATTTTTTTTTCCAAAGCTCATCCAAAGGCAGAGGATCATAAAATTACATTTAAAAACAATCAGAAGAACTATGATCCTGATACAGATTACCAACAGAGTCCTTTATCTTGCAGTGGTTAGCGTACTCCAGCTGGCTTAAGGGAACATCTTTGCACACTCACTATTAACTATCAATTTGCTTATAATAAAACTCCTTTGTAGTTTATGGATACTTACTAGCAAGACACTTAACAAGATTCCTAGATGTTATTTAACATCCTGAAGCAGACCAACCACCACTGCTGGCTTCTTCATATCCCCATTCCAACATTCTCTTCTTTCCATCTCCAAATCACATACTTTTGTTTTTTCATACCCTACATCAGATTATCTGTACCAGTGTCTTTATTACTTATCATCTGACTCTTCATCAAAAATGTTATCCCCAACTGTAATCTTTGTTTAGGAAAAAAAAAAAAAAAGGCAGTATCTTGGCTTCATTTCAAAAGAAGGGGACACTATATCTTTCATAAAGATATTTACACATGCAACATGTCTGCTAACATTTGATTCAACGAGAGCTTTTCAAAATTAATGCCATGGAGATATGAGCTATTTTTAATAATCATAAACCTGATCTTGCAAGAAGCTTAGGAACAGCCACACAGCTTTGTGGGAGTTGTGTAATCAACACAGATTTAATTACTCTGCTTTAGTGTTAGCGATTACTTTTAAGACATACTTCTTGTACCATCAGACGCCAAATGCACAACCCTGACCACAGGAGACTCTTCTCCCCAGAATACTCTGAAACTGTATTCTCTACAAGTGGAAATGACTTTGTAACCAGTTTTGCATATATAGTTCCAAAGGAATCACCCTCTGAATTCTCAGCGCTAAGAATAACATGAAAGAAATGTTCTGAAATTACTCTTAAAAGTACCTGTGAAACTAAAGCTACATAAGCTTCTGACTTTACCTGATCAATTATATTTTAAAGTAACAAAGCAGCCTGTTATTACAGAATAGCTTATCTTCTAATTAAGCCAGTTAATTTCTGGACATTTAAACAAATGAAGCACCTGTTAATATCTATACATCCTAATAAATAAATTTCCTGTTAATTAACATGATTTAGCAGAAATTAATCTAACTCACTGCATCAACCACGAAGATGCAACCATTTGATAGCTGCATTCATTCACATTCTCATTTTCATCCTGGACTGCTGATGCAATATCATTCTTTAAGTTGCCTTCAGCAATATTAATAGGGATATATTTATCAACAGCATATTAAAATTTCATTTTTAATCACCCTAATCAATAACAATTAACTTTTTTGAAAGTCAAAATATTTATCTAACCCACAAATATTCCTATATATTATACAAGAAAAAAGCATATAAATGAGATGCTGTTCCTTGCTCCTTATCTGATCCCAATTTATTTTTAGCATGCCATTTTATCACTGAGAGGTATTTAATTACTTAATGACAACTTTAACATAGAGATCCCTTTGATGAAAAGTACAGTGTAAGAATTAAGCACAAATATTATTTCACGTAATGAAATTTTCTTCTTTGTGATGGTGGCATAACATTAAAATTACTGAAAGAACACTACTACTTTAATAAAGTAAAGCTAACAACAGAGGTTCTAAAATTCTAGTTTTCCTTAGATCATTATTTGTTATGATACATTTAGGTATTTCAGAAAGAAGTGCCATGAGCCATATGCCACAAGGAAGACAGCCATATGTCTATCTGAAGTATCAACATTAGATCTTAAAATCTAGATTTAATAACTTCCAAAAACCAAGAATGCACTTACTCATGGCATGCTTTGTAAATAATTATGCAACAGAAACTAAGCATTTACTCTAAGTCTTTTCCACTTCAAGCCTTTTCTAACTACAAGTCATTGTGAGAACAGTCACTGATACTAACAAATAAATATATGGTGTGAATACATGTTCAGTGATTTTTTTTTCTTCTTGGATTTCTTCTTCCACCAGTAGTTGTGGCAGTCCACACAAATGGAAAAAACCACTTGTTTCACAAATGAATATGGTTTCATTTTCAAGATTTCTCTAAGAACTAAATCCCCCATCCATTACTCTAACTAGTAGTACAATAACCACAGAGAAGAGTGAAGACTGTTTTCCACATTTTTACAAGATCAACTAAACCAAGAATAAATTCAAGGAAGTGATGGCTAAAGGAAT